TTTTCCTTCGGAGTTTCTTCCTCTTCCAATTAGAAAAAGGAGAACTCTAACACTTTTAAAAATAGAAGATACACCAAGTTTTTCCCATTAGACAAATCTCAAAAAGGTATAATATCTTAACAATTTTCGTAGACATCAAAATAAAGATGCATCACTACACCAAGTATGCCTTCATTGGCTTGTCTGTCTTTCTGAATGCAAAATGGAAAAGGTCTCTTGCTCTATGGGGAAAGGAGAAGAAAAATATTTCTTGTTATTAAAAATATCAGCTGATAGTTTGTAACTTTCCTGCTATGGAATACTTGGATCAAACACCTTGAGTTAAAAGCAAAAACACCACACCAAGTTCTTGCTGCCATCTCAGATACAGGCAGAAACTTAGAAGCGATGGGCCAGGTGCAGCTGACATTTCCCAAGCTTTATACAAAAGTAGGCAGGAGAATCTTTCAGCAAGGATTGTTGCACAGCCTATTGCACAAGTTAAACTAATTTAGGGACTGCTCCAGCTTGTGCTGGATTATTTAAAAACAAAACAAAACAAACGAATGGACCAGTTAAAAGGCAGTCCAACGATACCCAGCTTTCTGGCTCCTTTGTCCCATCAGAGTGAAAAAAAGCAGTCTGAACAGGACAAAAATATTTGACCATTTCTATGAGATATCACAAAATTCAAGCACAGAAGTAGGGAGGGGGTAGGTAGAGGAGGAAAGGGAGGTCAATATTTCATGAATTATTATTTTTCTAGGAAGATGAGTAATTGCTAGATATCCAGGGGCCCTGAAGTCCAGGTGAATCAGATCTGAAACAAGTAATTTCTATATCTCTTTGAACTCCATTACAAATGATACAGCATGGCCATTAGATACAAGTACTAGCTGCGCACTTTCCAGAAACAGAAACATATCAGGTAAAAATAAATTTAACGCAAGAAAGGATGCTAAAATGAGTTAAGCAAGAGAATAATCTGGCCTTTGAAATAAAAGCCTGATAGTAGCTTTATACTGATATTGATCCTCGTAATTCAGTATCACTCAGTATAGACTTTGTCCATGCCTCCAAACAAGCACCGAGAGGAAGAATAACCTAATACTTTCAAAAGTACTGTACGTGAATATGGAGGCTGCAGGGGAGGAGAAGGCGGAGAAAGAGAACCAAAATGGGAGAAATCTACAGGAAAGATGAAAAACACAGTAACTACAAAGGGCGAGATGTACTATAACAGTGCTAAACAGCAGGGCTGTGTGAAGCTTCGGTCCCTGATTCGATTTGATTCCCCTTCTCCTTCCCCCCCCACAGAGTACAGAGAATCTGGTCAGCCTCTTACCAAGACGTATCAATTTCTAACTGCATACATGGGCAAAGGACAACCTGTTCCTTTATGTCCTCCTGGTTGTGCAGTAGGGCTGTGCAAAGCTTCGGTCCCCGATCTGATTTGGTGGAGATTTGGCCCGATTCAGTGGCTGAATCTCCAAATCTGAATCGAAGCAGAGGACACTTTAACCTCTCCAAATCAAATCAGAACCCTCCGATCGAATCGGAACCCTCTGAATCGATTGAGAGATTCGGTAATTCGGACATAGACACAGTTTTAAATGTTTTTTCCTACATATCTCTAGGTAGCTGGCGGCTCATGTATGCTGTGATGCATGGAGCGTTCCACAGAAGCGCGGGGGGCCGCAGCTCAGCGACTGGTGCCTACTGGATCTGTGGGGGGAGGGGACACCCAGGGTCCCCCCGCAGCCGATCACTGAGCCGGAGGGCTGCGGGAGAGGGGGCCTCCCAGCCTGCTCCTGGGTGGATCTGAAAGTGGACCGGAACTACTTCCAGTCCACTTCTGAGTTCGCTGCTGAGCATGTGGAGAACCCACCCGCACTCCTGTAGGACGCTCCATCCACCCCAGCATCACAGCATTCATGAGCCATGCTGGTACCTTGACGTGTGTAGAAAAAACATTTAAAGTTGTGTCTATGTCCAAATTGCCGATTCTCTGAATCAGCATTGAATCTTCAGATTTGGTGAATTGAATCGGGGACAGTGATCCAAATCAATGTCTCTGATTCGGGCCGAATCCAAAATTGAATAGGGCCCGCTTTGCACATCCCTAGAAACAGGTAGCTCTGTAAGACTGCATTAATAAGTGCCTTGCTTTGGCCCAGTAGGCTCTGCACTGAGAATCACAGGCAAGCAGGGCTGGAAACAACACTATGTGGTTATGAAGCAAGGCCAGAAGAGAAAAACCGCCACAAAAAACAAAATAAAACACTAAATGTGCAGTGTTGAGAGACAGAGAGAGAGAGAGAGAGAGAGAGAGAGAGAGAGAGATTCCTATAGACACCTTCCCACCTATTCCTATAGACACCTACCCACCCATATATCCATTCCTCCCTCCCCATGGACACTCACCCACCCACCCACCAATCCCCATAGACAACTACCCACCCATCTATATCTATATCTGGTCTCTCTCTTTTCTCATATATATATGGAATAGGTACCAAGTGAGCATATATATATGCTCACTTGGTACCTATTCCACAGTTGTTGGAAAAACCTCCTGATTCCACAGTTCCCTGAACGGGTGTATTTTTTTCTGTAGTATACAGTATATACTAGCACCTGTTCACTTTCAGTTTTGGTTTTTTGGTTATTTTGTTATACAAGGAGACTTACATTGTGAGCGGCATGGGAATATCATTGGCCACATTATTACACTTTTTTCAGGTGTCCTGGATAAGAGGCTTTTCCCTCCATACCTGGCTAACAGGACAACTTTCACCAAATGCCCTGCATCTATAAGATCTCAAATTAAACTGTCTGTGTCAACTGCTGCTATAGCTCAATTTTCCCCCTTCTTTTTATACTGTCCACTATAATTAAAGACGGGAAATATCCTGGTCTAGGTTTGGCATGGCTCTTAAACCAGACCCCACTGAAGACAGGGCAGCCAAATTTCTTGTCTTTTACTTTCCCACTCAACTTACTTGGGTGGAGGCACTAATGACATTCTCACAATGGAAGGAGGAAGAAAAGAAAAAAAAAAAGGACAGTGGTGGTAATTCCCCTACAGAAGCCACAGGGAAAGGCATATCATTTCCTATTAGAGTAGTAGGGAGACCCAGGATAGCTTTGTTATCTGTTACAAGTGCCCCATTACATTTTGTTTTTCAGAGCTAAGAGACATGAAAAGAATCCTAAATAGAGTTGATCACCCTCAATTAAAATACATGTATTATGACTTTTGTCACCACGTATAAGTACAATCTAAAATAAAAGCTAATTTCTGCTTTGTTTCCAGACCAAAAAATCCCCCAAAACAACAAAAACACAAAATAAGAAATTCCATTAGGTTTCATTTAATGAGGTTGTTTCAAATTTCAAGTCTTCACTGACGTTGTGGGGCCTGAATGTCAGACAGCAAGGCTAATGAATGCTCTTCTTGGGTCTATGTACATCCAGCTTGATGAATGACAGACACTCCCAACCATGAAAGCTAGAACTGAAGTGTAGATGATTTATTCTACGGCATCAATATTTGTCTAACTGCTGTCATGCCAGGAATCTCTGTTCATGCTGAATCTATTACAGTGGAGACGGATACAATAATTCATTTTCTAAAAACAGATCTAGGCCACAGAATGACTCTACTCATGCGATCAGCAGTAGACATGTAAGGTAGACACAGCTGATGGTATGGCAAATTTCTCAAAGTAAAAACAAGTCCTAGATCAATGAAAAAGCAATACAGATAGATTCTGACTCTCCTCAGGTTGAGTGAATTGCTATAGTGCACGGCTTGGGGGCTTCAGAAAAGGAAAAAAAGCAGAGATAACCAAGTGTACCTCTATTCACTATGGGACACTATGAAAAAAGCAGCAATGAATATTACACAAAACGGCTCTCTTAATGAATACCGATCCAGTTGGAGGAAAGAGAGGAAGAGGGGGTATCAGGTTGTAACCATAAGAATTCAGAAGTAAGCTTTCCCCCCTAGAGGTTTGGAATCCAATTCTTATTCTATAGAAGGAAGAAGATCTTTGAAAGATAAAAAATCTATTCAAATAAGCTGAACATTTACAAACATTCTGAACTCTTTTTTTGCCCCTAAAAATTTCTAAACGTTTATTAAAAGAGAGTAAAGCCTATATTTAATTTTACAGGCATCTTTGCTCAGATTACACATGATTCATTACTGAGGCTTTCAACCTCGCTCAACCATTGTTAAAATTATTTTCTAATCAGTTTTATTCATACAAACCAACTTTAACATAATATCTAGAGGCTAGCTACGTTGCACTATAAATATGCTTTCTAAAAAGACACCCAAATTCTACGTTACTGCACTTTTCACTAAAGTGCTCCCCAAGCTAGCAATGCAGACTACTTACAGGCAAAAGAGCAGTCAACTCCAGAATTGCAACAAAAAAAAAGCAGGCATTAATATTTCTAGCTGTTTGGAAAGCTATGACATGTTTTGAACACTGCCTCATAAAACTTTAAAACCTCTTCCACCAAGAAAATGGAAATTTACATATACATACAGGACTTTAAACTGTGAAAAAATGTGTTTATATAAAGGGGAGGCAGGGTGGAGGAGGAAACAACTCATCAAGTTACCTGAAATAGATTGTTTCAAAAAATAATTTAAAAGAATTTTAGGTATGCTAGCAGCCCCTGCTAATTTATGTTTTACAATTGTATTTTCTTATTTTTCCAGATAGTTCTCTTTTGTTACTATATAAAATACACAAATACTAATGGGGAACTGATTATACAAAAGCAGTGAAATTTACCACATACAAAATACTAGAAAATGCACAAAACAACTAAAAGAAAGAAAAAGAAAAGAAAATAATTTCTCTGATGATATTGCAGAGAAACACCGTCACTTGCAGTAAGGAGGCTATAAAAAAAAAAAAACAAAACTCCTTTAAGATTACTTTTCCTTTTTAAGAAAGAAGAAAAAAAAGGAGGCAAAGTAAAATAAAAGCTAATATGTTTACCTGTTGCTTCTGGTACGCAGTGTTTGGATTAATTTTGGACTCCAAAAGAAGAGAACCTGATGGAAAGGAAAAAAAAGAAAAAGAGAAAGATCTATTTTTACTTCTACAGTGATATCATGATTTCAAAATCTGATTAGGAACCAAAGTTGTCTTTAATCACTGAACCATTCAGAACACAGATCCAGGACTACGTTCAGAACTAAATTCCTCATTCTGCACATATATGCTTCAATTTGCTCTCTTGGGTAGTTTCTCCCACTTTAGAGAGACTCCTTACGCAAATTAAAGAACATGCTAAAGTGTTTGCAGGATTAGGGCTTCAAGGCAGAAACTCCTCTGCTGTACTGTCCATCATCTATTAAATTCAAGGGGCAGTGGAAAAGAGAGCTAAACCACTAGAAGGTAATACCTGCCTCGCTCACTCTCTCTCTCTCTGTACCCCTGCCCCCACCTGACCCCCATCCCCACTCCCTCTGCAGGAACAACACAATTGCACAGCGCATACAGTGCCTAAAAATCTGCTTCTGCAGCTGGAAAACTGCCATTTAGGCAGATAAAGTAAAACAGAATTTTACATTTTAAACTTCTGACTCCACAATTCCTTCTACAAACAGTTACAGGTGGGGTTATCAAAATGAAACAAAACTACCCCCTCCTCCCCCCCGCAAAAAAAAAAAAAAACCCAAAAAAACCAAACCAAACCAACCAAACAACCAAGTAGTCCTAAACTGGAGTTCATGCAACACTTAATGTTTTGCTAAAAGTCAATGGTCACATGGTACTGGCTCTCTCCTTGTTTTCAACTTGTAAGAAAAGCTAAAGACCAATAAGAATGCCTTGATACTGCTTCCCATGGGAACAGTCACTGTTGATGCTACAAGAATGATATTACCAATCAGAGATATACTACACAACTGCAATAAAATCTAGAAATCAAGATACAGAAATGCACAGTTAACGCACCTATAACAACAAAGCAGAGTTAGTTGTTTGGATTTGAGATTACAAAACCAGTAAATTGAGAATTGAAGTTAATGGTTGTTTTAGGCATGACTACACCACCAGCATTTTCTACCCTTAAATGGCCTGTATGTACTCTCAATCTTAACTACACTCTAAGGTAATCTTTAATACAGTTTTTTGTCTGGGAATTTAAGAGACTTAAAGAAAAATGAAAATACTTCCATCTATTTTAGTGTAAAAATCAGAAATTAAGATATAAGCAGCAACTCACCATTAATAAAATGAATCTGAAAAGTGATACTAATTCCAATTATCATTCCTGACTAATGGTGGAAGCCACCTTGATGAAATCTTAGGAAGCTAGTTTTCAGTATGTGAAGAGTACATTAAATTATAAATTTATATCAAAGCTTTAACAGTTGACAAAGCCTTCCTAAAAAAATCTTATGCTGGTTTCTTCTGTAGTCAGGCACAAATCATGGATCCAAAAATCCATAACTGTCTAAGGAGAAGTGCCACTGACTTCAATAGACAAATTCTGGATAAGGACCGAATAATCAGACTTCATCCCATTTTCAATAACAGGGTTAATTATCAGCAAAATAAAAAGCCCCATAATATTAACTCCTCCATGTTGAGAGTGCTTACCTTAAACATCTGAATTACTACAAAAGCTTTACAATTCAAAGCTTTTTAAAATGTTTAGTACTGTTTTGAATATATAAAAAATGTTCATTACAAATGTGTTGAAAAAGATAACACTGTTTCCGTCTCCTTTACTTTTCTGCTACTACATTACTGCTTCCGAACTCCAAAACTTATGATGAAGATTTTGCACTTGCCTTGCAACATCTAAAAACCAATAGCCTTTTCTGTTTGGAATTATGGATCGATGATGGCTCTCCATATATCATGATGCTATGCTGTGTTGTATAACAATCTTTAATTAAGATGTTGACAAAGAAAATGAGAAGTGGATTTTCAAATATTCCAAAAAAATGTTTTAAATTCAATTACCACACTGAAGTTCACAATATAATCATGAACTTTTCTCTTCAGAAACTCCACAGGGTATGTTACTATTTTGTCAGTTAATCATCTCTGTTAACCCAGTTCTTTCTGCAAAAATATAAACAACCACAGATGGCTTGAGATGATCCTGTCACTGGCTCTTTTAAACTAACACCCACTGAACTGAGAAATCTTTTTTTCCCCCCACTTCTTTTCCACTTAACTGATGGCAAAACCAAATGTATAGCAAGAGTGAAAAATCAAAATACACACGGAACTATATTCAGGAATAGCTGAATATTCCTGAATACACTCCATGTGTAAATATTTATTCCAGTAGAAAGAACTCCTTGTTCCCATTTCACTTAATTCATCTAAAATTTAAAAGAACAAGGAATGCTTCATTATGGAATAAGTGTTCACACAGAGTTATTCAGGGACTGCTATTCCCAAATAGCACCATATGTAAATAAGCCTGTAATCCTTTCAACCAACTCTGATATGTCAATCTAGGATTTTGATTCATATTACTACTACTACTTACAGTGCTTGCCTCATATATTTAAATAGTGGCACCAGTAAAGGAACCAGTGAGGAAGAATTTAACTATAAAGACAGCTTGCATACTTACCATGGTAAATAGCACTGAGAGAAAAATGAAAGTTGAAATACAAAAAGAGCTAATTACAATAAACTCTTAGGACCCATTCACACATGCAGGCATGTGTGCTTGCAGCAGCTCAAATAGGAGCAGCAAATTGGAGCCAGGGATTTTTGCCTCAGCGCACATGCCTGGACATGCACTTTGGTGTGGGGCAAATTGTGCCACCTGGGGCAAAATAACCCTGCTCAGCTCCTCCCATATCTGCAGCCAAGGGAGCTAGAGCCTGGGGCCAGCACATGTGCAATATAAAAACCTGCCCTTGCAAGCAGTTCAGGGCTACTTGCCCTCAGGAGCTTCTGAGGCCCAGCCAGTTGGTACCTGGGGACCAGGGCTCTCCCGGGGAGAAGGGGCCGCAATTGAGGCAACTGCCCCAGGCCCTACAGAGCCAGGCGGGGTGGCTGCAGTGACTGCACTGCCGCCAGCTTCACATCCGGCCACTCAGCACCCACCCCCACCCCTGTCACTGCCAGCTTCCTTGCGTCCGGAGGCGGGGTCCCATACAGGCCGATTTGCCCCGCACCCTGCATGGATCATCTCTACTGGGGACACTACCCCTTGTGCCAGCTGGACTGCTGAAGCAGCCCAGACCTGGAGTGGCCCCAGCCCACTGTACTGCAGCAGTCTGGCAGTGGGGGCTGCTGCCTGGGTGTGAGCTGCTGCTGCCACCTGCGACAGCATCTGCCCCCTTGGACCTGCAGCCCTCATGGTTGCATGCCTGCCAGACCTGGATGGGGTGCCCCCGCTCTGCCATCTGGGCAGCTATTGCTCAGAAGATGTGCTCCTTGCAGTGGTCCACTCTGAAGTGTCCTCTTGGCCCCAAATTGCCAACAGGTCAGCTACCTCGTCTGCCTGCCAGCTGGGTCCCCACTGTTGGTCCTGGACAGACTCCTCTGCCTGGGTCTTGCCACTTGTCTCACCAGGAGAGATCCTGGTGTTCCCTATTTAAAAACTGCAAATTCTCTAATAAGAAACCCAAATTATCTCATTAAAATACCCAAAATAGTGTTCTTTCATTATTAAAATGAAATGCCACTATATACAAAGAGATCAGTTGGGCAATGGTTTATTAATATATTTAGAAGTTTAAAGCAATTTGGAAGCCTACCAGTGCCTCTATCATCATCATAAAATAGATTCTAAATATCTATTCACTTTGGCATTTGCTTTTGGCGTTTTTGTCATAGAAAAGTCAGAGCTGCCCCTATCCCCTTCGTTTACCAAGATGTGCAGCACTGAGCAGCACAGATATGTCAGTGCCTTGCCCCTCACTCTCAACCCACAGCCTGCCCCCTGCCTGAGTCCCCTCACGCCTGACCCACAGGGTCAGGTAAGGGGGTGAGGGGTTTGTGGGGGTGGCTTGGG